CAACCCGACTCCCTGTGGATAGGCTGGAAAGCAGTGGAGGATGGACCAAATCCTTGGGACTCAGCATCTATGTTTGAGATCTGGAAGTAGGTTCAGATGGGCTCAGCTTGTACTCACTGTGGCCATCTGGGGGGTGAACCAGCAGATGGAAGACCTCTTTCCCTCTCTTAAAAAACAAACAAAACAACAACAACAAAAATTTTCAAATAAAATAACTAAAAAAAAAGTGCTTTCTGGAAATATCTAAAAAAAATAATTTTAAAAAAGACAGACCTAGGGATTGTGTGTCCCTGCCTCTGGTTGTTATATTATACATGTGCTGAGAGATGTTTCCTGAGTGTGGCCAACTTTGCGGACATCTGGTCACCACGCACATATAGAGAGCCGACCACGAGCCTACAGGAGGGCTCTGAGTTCCTCTGTGCATCTCCCCTGGACCCGAACCAGTGACCAGAGCTTTCTCTGTACACAAGTGGAACAAAGTGGACTTATGATTACCACCCGTGTGCCACAGACGTGTGTTGTTTTACCCTCAAGCCATTCCTTGAGAGAATTATTCTCTCCGTTCATTTATACAGGGCACCTTGTGGCAGCTGCCAAGTTCCGTGGACCAATCAGACCCTCCAGTTGGCTTTTGCCCCTGCACCACTAAATGGATACATTTAACAGCTGGCCACCTAAACTTCTCAAGTGCCAGGAGAGTTTAAGGGACAAAAATAACCGACCCCTGTCAGACTATTGCAGAGAACAGGGAAGTAGGTTCCCCCCACCCCCAAACTTCGCAACTCTGCGCCTTCCCTTGCCTTCGGAGAGAGCCCTACACTCTGCTACTGAGTCAACATGGAACTAAAATGGGGAGTGGAGATTTCGCAAAAGAAAGGAATCTAAGACTAGCCCCCTTTGGCTCCCACTGGCTTTGTGGGTATTTTCTTGGAAAGTGTCCATATGGCTTGGGGTTACAAAGAGTACGTTCCCTCCACAGACTAGACTGAGGAGCCACAAAGCATACTTAATGCCTGACTGCACCCAGCCCAAGATGTAATGAATTCAACCTGTTCTGAAAAAGCACCTGTATTTTTTTTTTGAAACAGTTTCTCCATTTAAAATTCAAATCTATGTTAGTTTTACATTGTTCAAGGCTTAGCACAGTCTGAGTGACAGGCCACTGAACTCAAACTACGGACAGTATCTGGTGTTTAACTCATTTAGGCAACCTCTCAGAAAAGTTCCATGGGCATAAAAAAAAATTAATTTTTTTTTCTCTTCCCTTAGTGACCAATATCCAAGGTCTGTTTTACTACATTCCTTAAATATATAATTCCTCAAGATTCCATCTCCATTTTAATGACATTTCCTTAAACTAACTTTGGGAGAGGGATAATTAACCATTATGAATTTTATGCAGAGCAGAAATGGAGAAGCCCAAATAATCCCTTTTACTTTTTTAAAAGTTGATTCTAATGGGCCTTGTACATGGCTAATTTCACCTGAAAAGGTTTGTCTCAATCATTTTGTAGAATGTTCCCAGCTCCTGATGTCAGTTGGCCCCTGTGGGGAGGAGGGGCAGACAGTCCTGGTCGTACTGGAAATTGGCTCAATCTTTCTGGACAGCAATCCCGTGACATGTAATAAGAACTGTAAAACTGCTCAGCCCCTCTGACCTGGTAATTTCACTCTGGGGAATAACCTCAAAGAAAGAAAGAGTAATTGGCCGCGGAAGGTCAGCGCATCCACTCTTTGCATCTGCGATGACGCCAAGTGTGGGTTCTGTGCATGGGGAGGGAGGGAGAGAGGAGGGCAGCGGACATGGGCGTTGGGGCCCAGGAGGCATTGACCGTGGCCAGTGGTAGTCTGCCAGCTTTGCAGAGATGCAACAAATGACTTCTGGAGCCCAGAGAAGAGAACCGGTCCATCTCGCCTGTTTCTGAGTTACAAGGAGAGGCGGGTCAGCCTCTGGTGGTGACCCTTGCTTAAACCAAGCACGTCTAGTGTCTATATTCTCTCAAGCAGCTTGTTTTTCAACAGCACCTAAAAGGTCTTTCTTAATGGAAAAAACCAGTATTTAAAAATCTCACAGATAATCAATTTTTACCAATGTTTTCGCGGGGGGTGGGGGGTACACCTAAAATGATTTTAGTGATGAGTATTCTTTAAAAAAAAATACTATACATTGCCCAAAAAAAGTCCTCCGACAAAAAAAAAATCTTTTGATATTGCAAAGACCCCCTGACTTTTAACTTGAACGATCTGTTGGAACTCAGTGGACTGGAATGAATGATTCTCCTCCAGCGATGTGAGAAAACAGGGTATTCATGGTGGAGGGGGAAAAAAAAATGTTCTTCCTCTGTATGCTAAACACTATTACTACACTCACACCGAGAAACCACTCACAAATAAAGCACAAAAGTGGCATTCTCCAAGTGCTAGCCAACTCTTTGCCTAGGTGCTGACTGCCAAGCAAGACAAAGTCGCTGGCCTCTTTGGGTTCCTCAAGGCGAGAGTGAGCGGCCCATGAAAAGCTGATGAAATTTTCTTCACCAATTCTTCCGCCTCCTGATAATCATAGTGTTTGGAAATAAAATCGTGGCCAATCAATACCACTTAGCAGATACTTAATGTTGCATAATACAGCTCTTTTCCACAGTGGCACGGCTGCCCTTCTCACTAACATTTCAAATAATTAGGATTATCGTGGCTGCCTGAAGCTTGGCAGCTTCGGCTTGTAGTTTCAAACAGCATTAATTCTTGGCACTCAGAACAGGGATAAAAGGTAAAGATATGAATGGGGATCTTTATTCCACCTGATCTATCTTGGATTAGCTCATTCTTTTCCAGTTCATGCCTGCTCTCCAGTGAAGAGGAAGGCTGAGCTGTAACCGAAGTAATTAGAAACCGCAAGCTGAGAAAAAATAGCCCTTTATTAATCGCCCCCCATTTACTATAAATTTACCAAAAAAGGAATAATCTTGGAAACAATTAAATGTGTTTTTCCCCTTACATGGAATTAAAGTGCAAGCACCACAGAGAGAAGCTGTCCTGGATTATCCCGTCTTAATTGTCACTTCTGAAACACCAGTTCTGAAAGGGGCTGCCTCTGCATTTTGCCTATTGTAGAGTAGCCAGCTCCTGGTAAAGAAAAAGTTCCTATCGACACAACCAAGCCAGGTACCAGTGCTTCCTGCTTAAGATAATCATCGCAAGCTGGGCACGCACTGTAAAATGACATATTTGAAAACAAAGTCAACTTGGCGCATATGTATGCAACAGCCCCTGAATTCTACGTATAGCATGCACGCACAGTTCACAAAATAAGATGAAA